TACAAGACTCCTCACTGGGGGCTGCAGTTCTGACAGTGGGACTTTGGGCCCCGGGCAGAGAGGTGAGACTCTGTTTGGGGGCTTCTCCTGCCCTGGCCTGAAGGCAGACCACGCCATGTAGGCCCATCCAGGACCCTGGAACAAATCCCAGAGCTGCACCAGTAAATAAATGGTTAGTGGCCTGGGTGGGGAATTGCTCTGAAGAATGAAAGGAAAGTGGGGAGTGAAGGAACTTTCTCTGGGGACACAGTGGGTGATGGCTGGGCAGTGGGGAGAGGAGGATAAATTCAAAGCTGTTCTTAAGATGCTGAAGCCAGCAGGCCTCTGATGGGGCCCAGAGATAGGAGAAGAAACACCTGAAGGAGAGGAAGGAAAAAGAAATTTAAAGAAGCTTCTCTTCCCCAAGGAAAAGTAATAAATTAGTCACCAGGGAGTGATCAGTGTGTGTGTGGGGAGGGAAAGGGAGAGGTTGGATGAGGGGTAGGGGGGCGGGGGTGGCGGCGAGGGCTGGCGCCTGTTAAGGCTTTGCTTGAACTTTCCAGTGTCACCGCTGGTCCTCAGGGAAGCCAGGTGAGCAGAAAGAATTAATTTCATAGACGAGGAAATGGAGGCCCAAAGCTGGGGAGCATTTTCTCCAAAGTCAAGGAGGAGTTGGTGCTTCTCACATCCAGCTGCCTCCCAGGACCCAGTGATGATCTGTGAGTCCGTTTCTTCCACATACCAGCCCTGGGAGGCAGGGACTGCTCACCCCACTTTACAGATGAGGAAACTGAGGCCCAGAGAGGGCTCCTGACCTTGCCACAGCCCAGTAAGTGACCTGCTGGACAACTCTAGTCACCGTGTGCCTCACAGCAGAGTCTAAAGGTGCTGGCATTTCTCTCGAATGCTGTGGTGATAACAACAGCCACTTATTGCTCCCAGCTATGTGCCGGGCACTGTGCCAGATGCTTAAATGCATCGCGTTGCTGAACAGTCTTGACTGCTCTCCAGTGTATTCCTTATTCTCACCATCCAGATGAGAAAACTGAGGCTCAGAGAAGCTTCACATGTTCCCAGGGCCACGCAGCCCTAACTCGCAGAGTTAGGATCTGAACTCAGGGCTCGCTGACCTCAAAACCTGGCCCCTTTCCAGGGCACAGAGGCTTCGGTGAACAATGGAGAACAGGCGAACCTTAGGATCAGCCTGGCTCCCTTCCCGTGAGCTCAGGAGCGCCAGCTCCTTTAGGAAGCACTGCTCCTTGCCAAGGGACTAACCAGGGGAGGTGGGGTAGGCCAGGAGTCATTCACAGAGTTGGGGGGGTCTCAGCATGGTGAAGAGGGAAGAAATGGGGCTGAGGGATGGATGGGGCCCAAGGCAGCAGATACACAGAGACAGGGAGCCAGGAGATAGGGCTCAGGCCTGCCCTGCCTCTGGTTTACTGTGTGACCTTAGGGGAGTCGCGCCCCTTCCTGGGTCTCAGTCTGCCCATCTATAAGAGGAGGGTTTGTGAGGCTGGTTCCTGAGGGCCCTTCCACCCCAGCCCCGGTGCTTCCCTGACCTGCCTGCCTTCTGCCCACCCCTGTCCCCAGCTCTGTGACCAGCCAGAGATGAGAGCGTGGCTGTGCCTCCCCTGCCAGGCCCCAACCTCTGGGCCTACTCACCCAAACCCCCACGCCGATGACGAAAACAAAGTAGGCGACCAGGACCCCGATGTCGTAGGCGTGCAGGGCAACTCCAGAGCCCAGTGCTGAGTCTGAAGCTGTCGCAGTCCTGACCCCATTTCCTGACGCTCCAGGCCCCATCGCTGCCGGCTCCACGCTCATCCGTGACAGGCGGTCACTACCAGGCTGGACTTTGAGGCGCTCCTGGCTTCGTTCCTTTCCTTTAATGATTAAACAGCCCCGAGTCCCATTAGCTGCTGAGAAAGCTCTGCGCCTCACTGGCGTATAAAGTCTTGGCCCCGCTTTCCCCCTACCTGCCATCTTCATCCTCTACAGGACCCTCTGTTTTCCTGCCCCTACTACACACACACACACACACACACACACACACGCACACACACGCACACACATGCACGCACATGCACAGGCACACACATTCACAGGCACACACACACACACACACTCTCACCCCCAGAGAGGAAAAGGAGGAGGAGGGAGAGGAGGAGGAGGGAGAGAAAAGGTACAGAGTCTTGGAATCCTGGAGCTGAGAAGAACTTCGGAAGTCAAGGTGTTCAAGCTCTTGCTTGTGTAGAGGGGAAACTGAGGCCCCGGGAGGGAAAGGTCACACAGGGGAACAAAGTCAGAACTGGGCCTGGACATAGGTTTCTTGGTTGTCAGTTCTATGCAGTTTTCCTTCTGCTCAGCGGGAGGAGGCGAGGGAGCAGCGAGCTGCTCTTATCCTCGCAGTGCAACGCACCCACCCCTCACATGTTCCTGCCTCACCCACCCGGTGTCATCGCCCCCTTTTATTACAGTGGAGGAAACTGAGGCCCAGGAAAAGACATATTTATTCCAAGTTACAGAGCAGGACCAGAATTTGCATCTTCTGGGTCCACACTCCTGCCCTGTGCTGTGACAAATGAGCGCTCCTGAAAAGGACGCAGAGCATCCTGAGTCCAGGGAAGACCATCTGCCTGGGGACCCAGGGAGCCTGCTTTCTAGTCCCAGCGGCACGGCTCACTGAACTGCAGGGTGATCGTGGGCAGGTTGCTCAGTGACTCTGAGCTCCATGTCCTTGGTCAGCGTGGCCTGCGCCCTGCCTCTTCTCAGGGCCAGTGAACGCTCTTCCTCCTACCCCACCACCGGCAGGGCCCACCCTGGCCCTCAGGCTTCTCCTGCCCGTGTACCCCGTCCCCCAACCCCTTCCTCACAGATGCCTGAGGCTGAGTCCCAACCCCTGCAGTTTATCTCACCCCAAACCAGCAGGTTTGGACCCACAGCAGCCACGCCCATCTATTAGCTAACCAGGCAATTTTAGCATCCAGAGCCCAGGGAATGCCAGGAAGAGATTAAAAAA